TCTTCCTGCCTGCGCACCTTCAGACTGCCCTCGCCCTGGCTATGGCACAGGAGCTGGGAAACAAGGTACCATTCTGCCCCATGGTCGGCAGTGAGGTCTACTCATCTGAAATCAAGAAGACAGAAGTATTGATGGAGAATTTCAGGAGGGCGATTGGTGAGTGTTGGATAGATTTTTAACTCAGATTTTAGTTTTCTGTTCTCCAGGTTTACTCGATGGGTTGTGACCTGTTGGGCATTTAGTTTGTAGAACTGAAAATGAGCCTACTATTACCAAATGCATAATTGGTAAGAAAATAAGAAACTGACCTAATGATTTAGTTAGATTTAATATTGATATACACCTAAAGCATTTTGTCTTTTTAAAAATAATATTTTTTATGCGTCTCTTCTATTGTACTGGTGGGACAATATCAGGTCATACTAGCAGTGAGAAAGAAACTCTTGCACACACAGTTGTCATGAGCTGAAAGGTAACACTGTAAAGCAGATTTATATAGGTGGTGAGAAGGAATGGCAGAAAGGGGATCTGAGACTGCTGATGCTACCTGTTGAGTGGGCAGCAAACGGAGCCAAGGTGGAGGGAGACGTGGTCATTAGCACATTCACTCCACCCCTTGAGCAAATTCTTCAGAGAGACCAGGTTTCATTTGAACGTTGTCATCACCTTGTCAATAACAGCACCCTGATGGACAGTCCCCGCCTTTAGAGCTGCTCTGTGCTCCACAGCACCGAGGATTAGACACCTGTGTGCTGCATGTAACAGGAACAGGAGCATGATCGTGTTACACTGAACGATGTCCAGTCATTTCACAGGACACACGTGTTTCTTTTCTGTAATAAAATACGTTGCTCGGTGACCCAATGGATGCTGCGGCTTAGCTCATGTTGGAATATAAAGACCAGATTAGGTTGTGCATAGTTTGTATGTGTGTAAATGTGTAACTGTAATGCTGCGCCATATTCAGGATTGCGCATCAAAGAAACAAAGGAGGTGTATGAAGGGGAGGTGACAGAGCTGACCCCATGCGAGACCGAGAATCCCATGGGCGGCTACGGCAAAACCATCAGCCACGTCATCATCGGTCTGAAGACTGCCAAAGGCACAAAGCAGCTCAAGGTCAGACTGAGAGTTTTAATCTTTCTTAGTTTGTGTTTGTAGTTTTCCTTCTGTTGGAAACTCAGTTATGTTGTGTGAACAAGCCATATAGTAATGCAAATAAGGACCAATGTTGAAGCACCAACATTTACATATTATCAATATGTTAATGACTTCTGTTCAAATTTAGCTTTCAGTTGTTTTTATTTTCTAACTGTGATTATAGTTTTAGTAATCAGGTTAATGCTGCAGAGGGAAATTAGATTTCAAGTATAGTCTGATGTAATAATGCTAATGGCAGGGTGCCGGTTTAGCTCAGTGCATTGAGCGGGCGACCACATGCTATATGGCTGAGAGCTGCCGGCCTGGGCTTGAGTCCGATCTGCAGCCCTAAGCTGCATGTCTTTCCCCTCAGCTTTCCTGTCCTTTCTTCACTGTGTCTGTCAATAAAGCTGAAAAAGGCCAAAAAACCATAATGCTGACAGCCAACGCTAGGCCAGCGTTTTGCTTTAAAACATTTAAAGTTGTTGTGTTTCCTTAGCTGGATCCCAGTATTTATGAGAGTCTTCAGAAAGAGCGTGTGGAGGTGGGAGATGTCATCTACATCGAAGCTAACAGTGGAGCCGTGAAGGTAAACTATTTTACTTTTATGCTTTTATGTTACATTTGCAGCACATTTTGGTTGTTGGCAAAAGCGAGAAACTGATCATGGCTGATTTTTAATTTACCAGATTTTGTATAGTTTACAGATGAAAAATGTTTTTTCCAAAAAACGTCTTAGTCGGGTCAAAGTTGAGGATTTTTCCATCTTGCTTGTCCTCTTCAACCCTTCATGGTGGCATGCTTTCATCTCTCTCCACCCTGCTGCATTTGTGTTGTACTCTGGAATGAGCCTCTCATTCCTGCGGCTCTTCATGTTCCATTTATCTCTCCATCTCCCACAGCGCCTCTTTACCAACAGTGGGGCTTGTGGCCTGTGCTGAAAGGCTGCAGGAGCGGTTCTTTTAATCAGTGCAGGTGGGCCAGAAGCACAGGTCGGCTCTAGTCAGAGGGTAAAGGAGGAGGGCTGGGCGACACATTTGTTACTGTTGACAGCCACCTCATGACTTGCCTTCTGAACCTCTTTCATCCTTCAGCCACATGCCCTTGTTCCTGCAGTGGGCTGGCACTGAGTTCAGTCATACATCTGCTCTCCCTCCTGCAGTGTGGTACCTTTTCCTTCATTGTTGACTGCAGCAATGTGAGACATTAATCTTTTCTATTACTGTGCCTTTGCAGAGACAAGGCCGCTGTGACACCTTTGCAACAGAGTTTGACCTGGAGGCAGAGGAGTATGTTCCGCTGCCCAAAGGTGATGTCCACAAAAAGAAGGAGATTGTCCAAGATGTCACACTGCATGACCTGGATGTTGCAAATGCTCGCCCCCAGGTACATAACTGCAATAATAAAGTAGCATCAGTTTGGAATAAACACATCTGTATACATCCTAAAGTTGATTGTTTTTATATTGGCACTCTTTATAAACGGTTCATTGTTTCATCTCAGGGAGGCCAGGACATTCTCTCCATGATGGGACAACTGATGAAGCCCAAAAAGACAGAAATCACAGGTAGAGACGGTGTAACAGCTAACTCAGACTAAATCTCTCAAGTTGTCTTCAGTTCTTGACCCATTGCCAATTTCTCGCTGCAGATAAGTTGCGTGCTGAGATCAACAAGGTGGTGAACCGCTACATAGACCAAGGTATAGCTGAGCTCGTACCCGGCGTGCTGTTCGTGGATGAGGTGCACATGCTGGACATTGAATGCTTCACGTACCTCCATCGAGCACTGGAAAGCAGCATCGCCCCCATTGTCGTATTCGCTTCTAACAGGGGAAACTGTTTAATCAGGTGAGAAGTGCTTTATGGAGAGAAGCACATTTTGTTATTGTTTATTTTTAAGGTAAAACAAAACAGTTTCAGGATTTAAGAAGTTTTTGTTGACCAGGGGGACAGAGGACATCAGTTCTCCGCACGGCATTCCTCTGGACTTGCTGGACAGAGTCATGATCATTCGCACCATGTTGTACACACCACAGGAGATGAAGCAGGTAAGTCTGAAAACCAATTTCTGTGGATTATGTGATGTGCGACATCAAGCTGTCTGTGCATGCGTCACTAACGAGGCTGTGGTCTGCAGATCATCAAGATTCGGGCTCAGACCGAAGGAATCAGCATCAGCGAGGAGGCTCTTACACACCTGGCAGAGATTGGCACCAAGACCACCCTCAGGTACGGCCAAACACTCTGGGTTATGATGAGATGCCTCAACTCAGTAAGAGGGTTACGGTTTGCTCAACAAAATCTAAAAGTTCATGTGTACTCTTTCTATTTTTGACGTACCGTAATAAATTTGTTTAGCCATAACTGTTGCCAGATATTTTTTAAAAAAACTTTGTTTAAAGGGATTAGAATAGCTCAGCTACATCACTGAGACCAACATGTATAAAGTTACAGATAAAAGACTGTATACTGTAGTAAAGCTCTTGTAGGATTTGCACCCATTAAACTATCTTCTACTATAAACAGGTTTACTATAAATATTTGTATGTGGGTGTACTGAGTCTTTCCTATTTCCTGTTTTGTCTCAGATACGCTGTACAGCTGCTGACGCCGGCAAGTCTGTTGGGCCGCGTTCAGGGAAAAGAAACAGTGGAGAGGGAGCAGGTAGAAGAGATCAATGAGCTGTTCTATGATGCCAAGTCTTCAGCAAAAATCCTCCAAGATCAGGATCACAAGTTTATGAAATAAAACTTGTGATCATTGTATTTGTCCATCCTAGTTTCACTCTGTTCATTGCATTTTATCATCTTCGCCCTTCACTGTAACTCACTCCGGTGTCCCTGCCTCTGCTTTCTGTAGTAGTTTTGTTCAGATGAATTTTTATTTGTTCCATTTGTCAATGGAAAGTTTTGAAATAAAAAAAAAATGAAAAATTTTAATTTTCTTAATTTTGCCTTATTTTTGGATTTTAGTAGTACAGTTTACTAGCATCTCACTGGGATAACAGACAGGCAAGAAGAGACAATTTGCATCATTTCAAGAGATTTTATTGCAAAGTAATTTCATCATTGCTGAATAAATCTGTCTTTCTGTTCATTATTATTATTATTATCATTATCATCATTAAGGTTTTTCTGAAGTGTACTGCATACACTACTTTATACTCCCACTCTGAAACTTCCGGTGTAACAAAAAGTCGTATCAGACAGATCAACAAATATCTGTTTTAAACACTGAAACTGAGTTCATCAGTTAGTTCCTTGAATTTTAAGAAAGGTGTCTATCAATATAAATCTAGTAAAATATAAATGTAAAATTTTGTCATTAAAAAAAATACAGAAAAAATTGGCTTTAAACAAGATTTACTTGGGTTAAAGTAAGACAAGAAAACAGCTGATCGAAACACATGAACATGGAGCAGGTGTGATTCAGCCAAGGTCAGGTTTTCTCCTATTTCCTGATTGGCTGGCCTGAGCGAGCGTTGAAAGCAGTCTCTGCTCCTGACCTCGCTCTGCTGAACACAGAGGGCGCAACTTTACCCATTTTCTCTGTGAAGAACAGGAAACAGCAGTAGGATATCTCACTGTAAATGCAGCAGTAAAGAGGATTATGTAAGACAAATATTTGCTCTGTAAGTACATTGTGTCCCACTCCGTGTCAGAGGGAACACTGTGACAGGAATCTCCCATCATTACAACCCCTTTCTTTTTTTCTTCTTCTCTGTATATGGAATGGAAACTTGAGCATCATGAGAAACGCCCCTCGCATTAACTCACGGCTGCAGTGTGGTCTTAGCTTAACCAAATACGGAAAGCAGAATAGTTTCTTTCGCTCTCATCTGCTGGTTTAGTGTCCTTACCGCACTCCTCCATTACTTCCATTGTCTTGCTCTTGGGAGGCCCGGCAGCACCCAGCTTGTTCTTTGCTTCAGTCAGGTCTTCTTCTCTCACTTCAGGACGCTGCATTTGCTCATCTTCCTGATTAGGCTGAAAGGCAGTAAAGGGAAAGTAAAACACATAGAGGTTACTGACAGTCCCTGTGTCTGCAACAATTATGCCCTGCTTTGGAAGCTCAAACACTGCTCTTACTTGAGACATGATTGTTGAGTAGCTGAAGATGGCCTGGAATAAATTCTTCTTCCTTTCAGCGGGCTCTTTCTCCAACAGGCCCAACCCAACACATACTCTCATATATATATACACAACCTAACAGTGAGTCAGTCTCCAGTGGGCAATAAATCTGTTCCTAACACATAATAAATGACGTAATGAGGGAACTGACTCCTCCTCTTGATCTCTCCCTCCTATTTTTCTCAGGGTCTGCTTCTTCCTTAGAAAATGAAACACTTCTACAACTTGTGGCATTACTTTTTGTCGAATAAATCTGAGGTGTAGGAATCTTGCAAGCATGGTTGGGCAGCTGCTTTCTAACAGCGCTGACAATAAACAAGCCACGCAAATTAAACTCGAAGTTTATAAGATGTGAATCAAGAGATAAGTACTTGATTTTCTTAAGAGGAGACTTTATTTTTCCTGCTGTGAAAGAATGTCACCCCACCCACACACCCATCCATCAATCTTTGTGAAAATCGCTGGGGTGATGGGATAGGTTCATTTTCCATAATTACATCATTATTCAACCCCACGGAGACCCCAAATTCAGTGGAAATTAGTTTAGGGGCAAGAAAAGCAACTAAATGGCTGTCTTATCAGACAGGGAAACAATTATGAAGTAGCTGAGTTGACTTAAGCACTGAACTCAAACTTTTCTTTCTAAAAAAAGGGAAAAAAAATACTAGTGCAAATCAAGGCTCAAGAATGTAACTACTTTTCACAATATCAACAAAATATTTGGTCCAAGTAAGGTAGCAGAAGTCAAGCATTTCATTTCATTTTAGTAAACATGTTGTACTGCTTCTTAAATACAACTCTACTCCAATCAGTCAACACTGAGAGCGCCTGCCTTAGTTTGTGCACAACTGTTTCACCAAAACAGCTACAGAGGTAGGTGAGCGACACATAAACGCAGTATTTAAAACCAAACTTTTTTCCATTTAATTCCTGGAAAAACACCACAGATATAAATACAGTGGTCATGGTCATTGTGTAAAACAATAAAGAGTTTTATTAAAATACATCCACTTTTTTAAACCCACAACTAAATCCTGAAACATTCATAACATTTTTTATATAAAACTCACAGATTCACACACGCTCATGACACATGTGAGGTCCTTAGAAAGAAAAAGTTGTTCCCCGGCTTTCCCATACTCAGTAACTGTCGCTCAGTTTGTAGTGGAAACACATGATTTCTTTGAGTCAGGCGTAACAGTTTTACGTGTAATTTAAGTGCGCTTCTTTCTGAATCGAGGCAGCAGCTGAGTGCTCACAAACTGAACAAGCTTAGTCTCTGTGAGAAGAACAGCTACGACCACACCAAGCAGACATATTGCCCCCACGCTAATATGGACGAGTCTCAGAAGCAAGCCGCTGTCGCAGCAGAAAAAAGCCTGGAGACAAGAAAACAGATGCTCCAGTTAGGATCACAGACTTCTACAGAATAAAAATTATAAGTATGTTTACTAAAAGTGCAGCTCAAAAGTTCCCGTTTCGAGGAAAAACAAACCTCAGAAACTGTTGTGACAACTGCACTGACGGCCAACGCCAGCAGTATGGGAGGGGAGGGCAACAGGCCTTGCAGGGGTTTCCACCGACTCAACTGGAAGTACCGGTGTATGTAAAGCAGGCTGTGTAAGATACGGAGGCCCATATTGAGGCAGTTTGCCAGTATGAAGCCAACACTGCCAGCCCACCCTGTCAGTACGTATGACAGGAAGAGGAAGGAGACAGACAGGGCTAGCATGATGAAGTTGTACCTGAGGACATAAACTCAGTGTTAAATGACAGTTTACACGCTATAAAATAACTGTGTGT